GTATTATGTTATATATAGATATTATGAGTATTTCCTCTCAGACATGCTTACTGTGAACTTCTGATTCACTTGATTCATTAGTATCTATCAGATAAAAATAGCAGGAGGAAATAAAAGCCAGCTGAAAAACCTAAGCAGCACACAATAACTACCTTTGTCCTAATAGAAATGCAGCTAACAGTCTTAACAGAAGTCCGTATTAGGTGAGAGAGTGGGTTTGCTCTCACTGCCAGGTATCAAAGTGCAGTTTTATCCATGTATTGATGCTTAGTGTTCCTTTATCTTTGTCCCACACAAGTTTGTTTGTTTGTTTTAGGTGTTAAAACTGGCTCAGTTAATTTGTCAGGCACAGCAGACAGCAAAATCCATATCAGACCATTCTGCAGAGACAATGGCTAGCCAGTCCTTCTTTTCGTGGTTTAGATTTACACCATCTGAGATGAATGGTTCCTACACAGGCAATGACCTTGATGAAATTGGGCAAGACAGCATCAAAAAAACAGATGAATATTTAGAGAAGGCACTGGAATACTTGTGCCAAATCTTTAAGGTACGTAACATCTTTCTATGAACTCTCCCTATGTAGCAGTGTGTACAAGAGCCAGGATCCCTCAAATATACTTGGGTCTCTCTTGTACTTTGGGGAGTCACAAAGCCATCCAGAGACCCCGCTAGCACATTTTGTTGTAAACATCTTCTGGGCTTGACTTTACCCTTACCACTTCAAAACCCCTTTCAATACAGAGGAAACTAGATGCTCTGTATTTCTGAATACCAAGCCTACTTTGTTTCAAGTGAATACTCCTATTGGACTTATAGTTTAGACCAAACCTGTCTCTTTACTTGTGCCTGTTCTCACGTTTACAAACAGGCAAGTCATAGCTTAAATTTTAAAAACGGTCCAGTACCTTCTAAATGTAGAGCTATAAAAATACAAGTAAATAACTGCAGCTATTAACTAGAAGTAGTCAGTGTACTTGGTTAAACTTAAAAGAACAGATTAATTTCTGTCACCTACACTCCCTTATACAGAATTGACCTAGGAGAAGACAGCCATTTGACAGCTCTCAAGGAGTAAGGTACATGTAAAACAGAACACCTCTCCTGGATTTGAAGAGCACAGACAAGAAATATGGAGACTTTTATTGTCTTTTAATGTCTAGCTGAGGTGCTATTCATAGAATCATAGAATAGTTATTAGAACTGCTATTAAGCAGTTCTTGGTATCTGTGTTATTCCTGAGTAGCTGAGTGGAGCCCAACTGACCCAGATGATGAAGAACTGTGAGATGGCTCAAGACAAGAATGGGAAAAACCAGCTTCCAGACTGCATTGAAAGTGAGGATGGCCTTATTCTTACGCCCCTTGGCAGGTACCAGGTGAGAAAAGAAAGAGTCCATATTGCTACCCTAGATTGTTCTTGCAAAAAAAAAAACAAACCAGCAAGTTGTCCTTCTACATCCTGGGGCTAAGAGAGATGCCTGCACAGAGGTGTTTAAGAGGGGACCTACAAGATAAGGGGTTTATTTTCTTATTTCCAGATCATAAATGGCTTACGTAGATTTGAGGTGCAGTATCAAGGCGATACCGAGCTTCAGCCCATTCGAAGCTATGAAAATGCCACTCTTGTCCGCCTCCTATTTCGGTTATCCTCTGTGCTTAATGCAAGGGTAAGTACAGCACTGTCTCCTCTTGTGTTTTCCACTGCAAATTTGTTCTTGCACATACATGACACTGCAAATTTGTCCTTGTTCCTTTACTGTGGTCTGTACGAGTAGTCCCCTGTAGTATCAGGCCTGCTTCTCTACCTGTAATATGACAGCTTAAATGTAGTCTTTATGCTTGATGTTTGAACAGTGGTGTATCATTCAGAATTAATGTTTCTGAAACAGGAAGAGTAAATCCTTTTCTTCCACTAGGCTTAATAGATACAAGGCAAGCCTGCACTAAAACAGTTCTACTATTTTCAACTACATTTTGATTATTCCCCCCCCCAAAGAAAAGTGCAAAGTAAGTTACACTTATCTTATGGCAATAGTTATAATAGAATACTGATGTTTAAACTTTTCTTACCTCAGTTTGCTGATCAGATGGATGTACTTTGCTCCAGGGAAGACTTTGTTGGCAGGCTTTGTCGTTACCATCTTACCAAGCCCCATCTCATACAGAAAATCAGGTGTAGTCCCATGGTGAAGGACAGAACAAGCCAGAACTGGGGACCAAGAATCAGTCTGAGGTTTCTGGCTAGCTACCAGACTCTCATTTTTTTACTGATGATCTACTTCACTGCATCCTGGTTTAACATTGGGCCAGTGAGCTGCACATTCATTATCCTGATCGGATATTTTCTTTATGCCACAATAATGACTTTTTTCTCTGAAAGATGGAAGCCACATGAACACTAATTTCTTTGTTTTAGCTTACACTTGTAAAAATAAATGTTTTAAGGATAAACCTGGGATTCAATGACTGTTTGAATTACTGTATCAGATCTTCCTAAACTATTTTTCAATATTAAAATTAATTGAGTTTTATAAACAAGTTATGTTGTCTTGTGGAGTAGGGATAATCAAAGTAAATTTTATTTTTTTATAAAAGCATTCTGTAGAATCTAGTGAATCACTGGGGTTTCTTGAGAGGGGGAAGAATGAGACTTTATACTGAAGGGAAAACTTTAATCAGGAGCACTCTGGTCAGTTTACACAGAATAGCTGAGGGTCTAAAGTTTAATATAGAAATACAGTTTCTTCTAAACCACTACCCAGGTAGCAACAGCAGGTAAAAAGCTGGAGGCATCTTGCTAGAAATAAAATGCACCAATATTCTGAGCACTAGCCTGAGCTACATTTTAACAAACCTGATCTGCAAAAATTCAATCAATCACACTATGAGTCACAAAATTCATATGCTTCAGCTATACTTATTGGAAGCACAGGGAAAAGAGGAATGCCATATTCTTATCTTCCCAAAGATCTAGAGTAAGGGAGTCCCCTTCTACGTTACCACTTCCCAGGTCATGGGGGTTTTGGGGGGAATTGGAGGGGTTTAGGTTTGTTGTGGGGGTTTTCTGGTTGGTTGGTGTTTTTTTATTACAAGCTCTGTGGTTAGCTACTGTGAGAATCTAAAGTTGTGAAACATAAACTAAACACAGTGCTCAGAATGGTGGGAGGATTTAACATTACAGTGGAAGGAATATTTAGTACTGTCCTCTAGAAGCAAGACTACACGCTCTCTAGCAACTTCCATGACACTACTACATATAAGGGTGTTTTTTGTTTCTTTGGGTTTTTTTTAAATGAAGTCACGTGCACCTCCACGTTAGATGCCTTTATGGTATATCCCTGGCTTGTCATCACAGTAAGTACCCCCATGATGACACAGGAGTCAAACATCTGACTAAAGAGAGGTCCTCAGTAAAAAGTATGTTGGGGTTTCTGGATAGAACACATTCAGCAACTGCAAAACTTGTCCCTCAAAACATCTCTAATCAAGGGTAAGGACCTCAGTAGTCACTTATTAAATAACAGCATGACCTAACAGTACTAAACAACAAAAATCAGGTGTTTTCACAGTATTCTGCAATGTCAAAACATCTCTATTTCCCCAGGACTAAAATGCTCCATTTCCCCCCCAGCCTGTGTCTGCCCTCAGAGTACGGCACACAGCAAGCACAGCACTCTGTGTACTTGTCCCCATGTTCTCTCTCACTCCTTCCTGCAATTTTAATTCTCTCTGAGATACTTTTATTAACACCAAATGTTCTCTGAAGCAATGCATCATGAGATGCCACAAAGAGGAATCCTGACAGATGAGCTTCAAAAGGTAACTCAGTCAAAAAAAAAAAAACAACCATTTTGTGCTCTCTAAAACTATGCCATGATGGTGCATGTGGGAAAGACAACTAATCAAAAGTAAAATGAAGTTCAGTGAGAAAACAGCTTTAGAGCTTATGGCTAATCACAATTTTAAGGCCATTCAGCTTATGCTGGATGTAAATCAACATCCAAAACTACGCTGTAGGAACAAAAGCATTCAGTAGTATGAAAGCAAGCCTACAATAACCATTTTTGCTAGCAAACCAATCAGTTTGCTTGAGCCTGAGAGCTGCATCTCTATGCTCCACACCAAGTGTAAGAAAAGTTACTTCAACTTACAGTCATTGTCCTGGCTGTGATTGCTGTAAGGTAACTGTCCTGGTGCAAGTTTGATTTGAGCAATACGATACTTGAGGGCCTTAGCTTTGCAAACTTGTTTGCTTAAACTGCCACTCCCATAATCACTTCTGCAGTCACAGGACTTGGGTCATCATTTCTCTTTTTTCTGCAGACAAGACTTCTACCTCATCTTCTGCAATGACCAGTTCACAGCTATTAATTTGACACACTGCAGGTACATGTCCCACTTCCAGTTTTTATGATCTATCTCCCACCTCAGAAGCTGCTGTGTGTCAGGATGTCTACCCCACCCTCAGTCTAACATCTCATTGCATCTTGCTTGAAGGAAACTGAAAAGTACTGCAGCTACAGTGACTGCTTTGAAAACTGCACTAGCAAACTTATTGTAAATCTGAAGGATACACGCTTTGCATCTATTTCCAGATATGTTTTAAATTGTTAAGAAAAAAATGCTATAAGCACCTTTGTGTTAGACCCTGGCAATACCTTTAACCCCCTGTTTCTACCCTTATTTCTTGGATTATGACTTAATTACATATTATAAACTGTGTTAGTGCTACTGATTCTTTTGCCCTAAGGAGTCAGCCATGTAACAACTGGTTAAAAATCTACATCTTTCAATTGTAGATACCATTACTAACCACTTGACCAGGTCTTCCAATTCACTACAAGGACCATAAAGATAGTGTTGCATGGGATGAAGAGCCATTATTTCCTCCCCTAACCTTCAAAGCCTTTAAATCTTCACTGACCACAGAACAATGTAAGCATCACCAAATGGACACAACAGAAATGGTATCTATGGATCAACATGGCAAGAGCAGTATAATGTTAGCATCCAACACAGGAATAATAATAAATTTATTACAATTGAAACAAACAGATAATGCATTAGTTCATGTACAAAATACTGATAGCATTCTGCTGCCTCAGTCAGTGCTTACTAAGTACCCACAGTTAAAAACATCCTAAAACTGATGACACCACACAGATTTACAAAGGTCATAGCAATTCCTTGACGCTACTGGAAGAGAGCTCAGCTACTCTTTAAGGTTTGCTGCACAATACAGGGAAATGGAGGAGGATGCAATGGGAATATCTGAAATTTGAAATTGTTCTGCACCAGGAAATTAAGAGTGACCAACTTATAAGCATGGGGAAAATAAAACCATCACACTATGCGTGAAATTAGTTACTCATGGCAAATGTTTCCATTAGCAGTGCCCAATGATAAGGCAGCTGATGACCAATTTGAGTGCCCATCATTGCTCAAGGCACAAAATCTTGGTTGTCAGTTCTACTTCCGAGCTATGTTGGTTTTAACTTTTCTTTTTAAACAAACTGATGAAGTACAGGAGCATTTTCACTGAACTGCATCAACTTCCAAAGCAAGCCAGACACCTCAGAGAGACGCCTAGTAAAACAAATGTAGCTACAAACCTGCTGGATTGATTTGTGTTACTAGGTGCTTTATACTGTTGGGCTTGTTCCCCCACACCTTTACATACACATTTACTGAGTTTATAGAGGAAGTCAGTGTGTCATTGGTATCTCTTTTTTTCTCATTCCAGAAGTGAGGTGATGAGAAACGTGGTTCATGCTAACAAAAACCCAACCATTTAAACAGAGTAGTGTTTAAATAACCTATAAATACTCCCCCCCCCCCCCCATTTTGTTCCCCACCCCCATGTATAATTATCCAGATCTCTTTCAAGTACTTGAGGGATGCCTTAAAAAGCTGTAATTCATCCCACCTCTGGGCAAAACTAATAGGCAAAAAGATTCCTGCAATCACGGACAAGTTTGCAACCGCATTCTAGTTGCAGCTAATTTATTTCTGGGGCAGTATCAGGTCACAAAACACACAGTGTGAAACAAATACTGGCACTGAGCATACTCTGAAGCAAATTAGGACATTTTCTCCCTACTCCCTCTTATACCAGACTCCCTGATGGAAGTCCACAAATAATTTCTTCTCTAAGAAGACAATAAAAACTCATCCTAATACAGTCTCAAGAACCATATATACACATTTTGTATATTTGAAAATGCTGGCAAAAGTCCACAGAGGCAGAGGATAAAAAGCATGAAAACCAAGTCTAACATCAGGTTCTCTACTGAACCTGATGTCTAGAAACAAAACAACATAAGGTTTCTTTCTTCTGAAGTACCCTCACCAAAATGCGATTTTCCAGCTGCATGTGGAAGAGACCAGCTGTTGAGACCTTCTTTCTTGCTTCACGGTTTAGGAAATGAGATGTTATGCAGCAGAGAGGCAGGCCTGACGAATACTTTGTGCCCAGGTGTTTAGGAGTGCCGTGACCGAATGCTTGTCTGGAAGTTGCAATAGTTTGGAAGTCATGTACCGATACACGGACTGCAAAAAGGGATTGGCTGCTGGAAAGAAAGAGGTAACAGATAAATAGAGTTACAATAAAAACAGTATTTAAAAGAAGATTAATATACGATGTTCGCATTTCCCCACTATTACTGCATGCACATGCCCAAAAAGTGTCATGCTAGCATCCTCATACCATACTGTCTGGGGTTTTTTATCCACAGAGGGCTCTGATCTGGATAGTCCGCTGGAACACTGAGCTGCAGTGGTGGTACATTTGGGAGATTCTTGTCATCTAGAATGCAAACACAATTCCCATCAGAACAAAGCATTCCTTGCTGGCGAAAGGGTTTTTTGTGCATCATTCAGTTTGGAACCTAGACTCATCCCAAGGAGGAACCAACCTGTACATCTCAATTTTTATTGAAGGCAATCTCATTGTTTGCTTTAGCAACACTTAAATTCTTGGAGGAAAAGCCTGGCAAATGTAGCTCCATCTTTTACACATTTCTGTACCTTGCCACTCTCACCATTTCATCAGCTGAACTTCACTAAGTTAGACACCTAATTTCTGAAAATTAAGTGCCTTATACTGATATTCAGGACAAAACCAGTTCCAATTTCTCAAACGAGGGGAGGAGGAAAGAATCTGTTTTCCCCATTGGAATGCAAGAGCAGAACAAGTTAATAGACTATAGCACTTTATGATTATTTAGCCGAGACCAAAAAAGATGCAATATGAATTTTTCTTGAACATATACCATTGTCAGTGATCACTAGTACAAATTGAAACAGACCCTCCCAAAAATTAACTCAACACTTCCCTAGCTCTGTCCTAGTTGCTGGAGGCAGAACAATTCTCACGTATCATTCTCACGTATCAATATAGGTCAAATCAGGAGTAGAGATTGCTACTAGCAACGAATTATTTTCTAGCCACTAAATGAGATTATCAACTGCAGCTTCAGTACAATGAAAGGATCAGTCATCACAAATGAAATCTCCAGGTGTACCCTGGAGCAGGCTGCACAGAATGTCATGATTAAGCAGTGCCCTGAATCTGGTAAGTACAGACTTCATGCCGAAGCCAAAGGTTAGCAAGATTCAAAGCTGTTAGCAAAAAACTCTTCAACCAAGCTCAGCACTTCTTTCTGAATTCAGCCCTTAGTTTCTTCTTGCTTACCTAGCTTACATATAAGATGCACTGTGCCGTTATTACTGCAGTGGGAAGGGTCCAGGTTCACCAGGAATTTAGGATTTAATCTTGCAACTTCCCCTTGTAAGACATTTGGTATGGTTTGTCTCTCATCCTCTTCATATTTCCGTTTTCGAGGGGAAGCAACTGGAGCCCTGCGTAAAACAGAGTCCGCAAAAGGACTAGGTGAAAACTTTGTGCCAACACTGCATTTGTCAAATATTTTACAGCTGTAAAAAGGACAGCTATAGCTCACACTCAACCATAAACCCATCTGTTCTTTTAAAAGCTTCTACAGATAAATGTCTTTTTTGTTAAATAATGAACATAGACAGCAGGTCATGATACATACGTGATGGGTGGCCCATGAATTGCAGTCATAGCTGGCATAAATGTACGGTAAAGCGAATGGTTGAAGACTGGTGAACGGATGTTGGCCAAAACAGCATCCAGAAGTGGCTGACACAAGTACTGCTGTTTGGTGGGGGGCACTGCGGGAGGTGGTGGAGTAGGCTGAAACAGAAGAGAAGCCCCTTTTCTTTTAATCATCACCAAAAAAGAAATCTTTACTATTGACTCTGCAAAATTTGACAGTGGTAATCTTCCAATGCATGAAATGCAGAGGATTCTCAAAACTGCATATAGTAACATTAAGTGGGGAATAAATTAAAAAAAAAAACACAACCACAGCCCACAGCTCTCATGTAGGAGATCTGTCCTGAAATGTACTGCAAAAACTCCTAGAAAGGACTCATGTCTTTGCACAAAGTACAAGAATTTGAAAGTTCAGCTAAAAGAAACATACAGATGACTTACATAAAGTAAATGCTAGCCCATTTTTTTTTCTGTTTCCTTACTTTGTCCTATCTTACTTGAAGTCTTAACAGCATGACACCAAGAAATGCAAAAAACTGTCTTGGCAAATCATATCATCATTTGGAATTAACTGTTTATTCTTGACAGTTCACAGCATTACATACCACAGCCATATCATTTTTCAGCTTCTCCAGAGCAATTTCACATTTCTGCAGTGTCTTCAGAGGGCACCTGCACAAGAGGAGAAACTTCATCACCACAAAATGGTCACCTTGGCTAAAGTATTTCTGGTATCTAAGCCCCACAGACAGCCTCAATGCCAACAGGGCTGGATGCTAAACAACAAATTTCTGGAAGAGCTGGGGAATCTGATGTCCAGGCAAAAGGAGAAAGAGTTACCGTTTTGAAGGGTCAGTCAGGATATCCAGCAGACTCTTCATTTTACTCAGGTCTTTCTTCCTATCTGAAATAATATCAGAGACACAAACACTGACTACAAGAATAGCTTCCATATTTGCAGACAGGAATATAATATAATGTTAAAAGTGAAAGCATGCATATCCAAAACAAGTATGCCCATTGTGTAAGCTCTATGTGTCCCAAAAACATAAGTAGGAAAGAAAAACTGGAGAGAATTTAAGGATGAGGCTTTTATCTATTCTTCACAGTAAATCTTTACAGTCATAGGCAAGAAAAGCATCTAACTTTCACTATCAATTTTAATCCCTAGAATAGAAGCCATCACAAAAGACAAGTTCCTGCTACTCTCATCAGAAGAGATAGCTGAAAGAGAGAAATGCACAACTAAATATAGGAAACCTCACCTTCATTTTTATCTATTTTATTGATCATCCTCCGGAGTGGCTCAATGTATTTTGATAGCTGTTTGAGTTTTTCCAGATACTGTTGCTCCTCTGACTGGCTAGAACTGGCTGGACTCATGACAGAATTTGGATTTCCTGGCAAGAAGTAAAGACTGCATGTCACAGGGATGATAAAAGATACTGCAGAACAACACTCTTGCATTTCAGAATCCGGGTCTGAGATGTGGCACTCCCAAATCATAGCTTACATCAAATATCCAAATTCACAACTGGATGCCCTATAGTTTAAGGGCTTGTCCAATCCTCTAGTCTTTGTGCAGAAATAACATGTTTGTGGACAGAACAGCAATTCTCATTTAATAATTTTTTTTTCTGAAATGGTCCAAAGTTTCATACACCCATTTTCTAGGTCCTCATTTTGCCTTCACTCTGGTGCATTGAACACTAAATCAACACATTGAATTTGCTGCAGTTTTCCTCAAGTCAGTGCTTTCCAACTGCAGAGCACACAACACTGGTATGAGAAGGAGCTAGCATGTTACTTCCATTCACGGTATCAGAAACTGCTTATTACATCTGGAAGAGAGAAGAGCACAAATGTCAGAGTACACCTAGGAAGGTGTTTTGGAGCAAAGCAGCCTGCCACCTGTGATTAAGTGGTTACATCCTTTACAATTGCATGCTGTTGCTATGGGTTCTTTCCTGCATGGAACTAAGGCATCATTATGCCTCTATAACCTCACTCCATTAAATCAAGTATCATTCTTTTTCAAAAGACTTGGGAAGTTAGAAAAACCCGTTACATAGTTCAGTAATGAGAAAAGAAGTTTCAATAGATTTTGATGCGAGATATCCATGTTGCTGTGTTATGTGGTACATGTGCCATGTTCATTACTTGTAATGCTAGCTGCTTTGTAGAGCTGTTTAAACTTTACATCATGCTAAAAAATACAAGGTTTTTTGGGAACTATTAGTTACCAAAACATACCCCAACTCATGGTCTGCAGTATAGCACCCAGATCACTTACCTGGAGTGTTTAAAGGACCTGGGGATGGGACACTAAAGTTCTGAGGTGTTCGTGCAGCTGCTGGGCTCTGCGATGGCTGTGGAGATGGACTGGGGAGAAAGCTGCTGGGTGATGGAGCTGGGCCAGAGCTGGAAAATAAGCATAAAAATCAAACCTGCCAGAATATGACAAGGAAGCATGATCAGTGAGCAGATATGCTTTCAGCAGCTTTGTTACAGCACTGTGTAGCTCTGCCAGTAGTAGATATGGTGAAGATTTCTTACAGTTTATTTAAAATAGGGATTTTCAGGCTGTATTCAGCACAATCCTGCCTATACTCTCACTGCAGTTATCAAAATTCACTGACTTCAATGGAAACACCATAAGATACATTGAATGCTTCTGAAAACCTCACCCTTACAGAACTGACAAAGAGTCTAGCTCACCTGACATTTGAATTTGGCTGAGAAGTTGGCTGGCCTGGCTGAGGGGATGGCTGTGGCTGTGGTGGAGGAGGCATTGACTGGGGGGTTTGAGCTTGTTGGACAGGAGATGGGGATGACATCATGGTAATATTGTTCTGGCTGACCTGAAATGTGGAAAAAGATCAATAACAACAAAAGGGAGTAAAGGATGGGAACCTAACTAAAAGGCTTTACCTATGGAGAGAAGCGTATCCTCAGACCTACAAGAAATTACACTGTTAAGTTTCCTGTTCTCTCCCATAACGATAGTCCCACCTGTATTACTCTTACGGCTCTTAGGGCAGTACTTCACATCAACCTTATTAGAAATAACTATTAAAACTGCACATAATTTGAATAACTGTATAATCATTGGTTTTTATTTCCCACACCATCACATTGCAATTAAAATATCAGTAATGCCACCTGAAAAGCCTGTACTTTAATAGTACTAAAGAAGAGCAGGAAGTAAAGACAGTTCTAACTTGAGAATTAACAGCCATAAAAACTCCTCCTTATTTTGACATTTGAATTCATCTTCACAGTTTGTCAGACTTGACTGTAGTTTCCCAATGGATTTTCTTTAGGAGGAAGGAAGGACAAAAGCACACAGTAAGCCAAATCATCAACATCTTGCTCAAACATTCAGCTTTGAAAATCTTGATGGAGATAGAAACACGCCAAACCGAAAGCCTGGATGGGAAATTAAATGGAAGTAGCTTTCTGGCCTTAGGAGCATGATGAGGTATGTCTAAAGGACAAAAAGATGAGTAAGATTATTTCCAGAGCAGTACCAAACTCTGTAACAATTAAGTGTATTCTTTACACAATAAAGTGCCAGAGCCAGATGATGCTCAAGTTAAAGCAACTTCTCAATTTGTTCTAATGGACGCTTTTCCCCTTTATCCCTTAAAACAAAAAAGCTCTGTTTCACAGTAGTGCACAGTAGTGCACAGATATTAAGTGATCATGTTCGTTTAAGGGACATGCAGAGTTCTTGTGGTTATAGACACATACATACAAAGATAAATCAAACCAGCCTCCAGAGACTGCATATTATGACTCATCCAAGCGTCCATTCTGTAAGTTACTTGTTAGCACCTTCATGAATTAACAACTCTGTCTCCCTCGGTCTAAAGCATTTTTAAGCTAAGGTCCCAGTAATCCACTAGTCCCAAACACTTCATGGCCACTGCAACTTGGTGTTGTCCTTCACTCATTAAATATGAATCTAAATCATCCAACTGTTTCCAGAGGACGTGATATTTAGCACATGAAAAAGCAAGTATTGCATGACCTACTTTCGCATGTACACACTGAACATGACAAGAAATACTTCGCTTGGAACACCCCATTACAGCATGCAAGAAGTCACACTTCTCTAGAAAGAAAAATGGGCCCAAACAAATCTTCAGCTAGGTGCAAATGTAGAACTGTTAAACCCGAAGATACTACTATATAATCCATTACAGCATAGCTTAAAAAAATAAAATCAAAATCAAACAGAGTCTGACATACTAAGATTTTTTTCCGTTTTCAATTACCCCATTATCTTCGCAACCTCTCCTGCAAAGAGAATACCTAGAACAAGTGAGGCTGAAATGATGCTTTAAATCAGCTGTGATACCTTCATTTTCTCCATAATCAATAAATACCGAGACTGTGATTACTGTTTCTCCTAGGAGGTGGATTTTTTTAACAGTACATGTCCCTTCAACAGTAAGGAAAACACTTCTGAGATTGAAAAGCACAGACTGCGTCCCATAGAAACCAAGCTTCTCACCACTCTGGAAGGATGCTATGATGAACACTGCAAAAAGATAACATTTTGTGGTTTATCATTTCCTGAAAATCACACCCCTTTTAAGTGTCTGAAGTTGGTTACATAAAATTACTTCTGAAAACTTAAATCCTTGTGTTTTGGGAAACAACAAGAAAGATTTCGTTAGGGCTTTTGCAAGATTTAAGCTTCTGTATCTACTTAACACCAAGATCCCTTCACATTAATTTACAAATGTTGCAGAAAAGCAAAGAAAAGAACATGCAGCATCTACTCTGCACATAAGCAGAGAATTAATTAGATTTTATTTATATATTAACCCTTCTGATTTAAGTACATGCATAGGCAAACAGCCTTCCTTCTTCCAACAGGTTTGCTCTGCCAGCTTAATTTCAGAATACCAAAGGCTAATGTCTAATATTAATCAATTTGTGACAGTGTCAAAAACATGTACTCAGAAGTGTGCAATCCTGAACTTACTCTCTTACTTTAATTTGAAAGCAGTTAATTTGCTACATATTAATTTCAGTTGTCTTTCTATAGAACAGATTTAAAGATGCTTTTAGCTTCAGATTTCTACATTGTTTGCAGGATATTACAAAAATTTAATGAAATTTTAACTTCTAGATAATGTTCTTTCCAACTAACTTCAATTAAAGAGAAGGCTTAAACAAAAAAACAACCCAAAACCAAAACACAAAAAATACCATTAAACCCAAAAGACAAAAAAAAAAAAGGAAAAACAAACCAACCTTCCTCCAGAGCTTTAACTCCATTAAACTTATTTAGCTCCTCATTTAACTCCAGAGTTACTGACCATCCATTTTCCACATACGTAAGGAAATGCAACTATGTACTTTTTCACTTATGGAAGACAGTTTCTGTATCTACATATTCATGGACAGCAATTACAGCCCACTGAATGTGAATCTGCTCTGCAACTCTGCCGTGACCTGATCATGACACTAAGCCCTACTTTTCTGAAGTCTTGCCCAAAGGATACTTAGGCTTGCATGACAAAAGTTTGCACTTAGTAACCACTAAATCTAAGCTATTCTTAGTATTCAGAACACACCATGCTGGAAGATAAATTTAGCTATGAGGCCTACATCCAGTCTGCTGAGTCTCAAGCAAGGGACAGCACACAGTATAAATAAGGCTAGCAAGAGTTTTTCAGAAGCTCGCAGTAGAAAGAGCATACAATATGCAGAAGTGATCAACAAGGAAAATGAGACTGCAACAAGGAAGTGGTGGGTAAAGAGGAACAGTAAAAACACTTAAGTCCAAAGGAAAACTCTAGAAACCATTACACTACTTACAGCGTACTTAACATTTCAACATTAAGCCAGTAAGCACAGCCTTGCCTAATCCATTGCAAACTGAGTTTAAAGTTCACCATTATGCTGCTTTACATGACAAAATGTCAACTCTGCAGAGCTTCAAATAAGTTCAGATACAAGTTTCCATATTCCCACTCAGGCTAGTATCCCTTCCTTCATTTTAATATTAACTCAGGTTTACTTGGTTTTCCCCACCCTGAATTTTCAGATTGCTGAATACTTCTGTGCCAACAATAAAGTGGAAGTTCACGTTATTGCAGACTGCAATAATTTTGTTATCTAATTGCTAAATCTATGTATTAATCTTTAAGTAAGTTTCAGTAAGAGCAGGTTTCTTGAGTGAATCCAAATATGGAGCATCAATCTTCTCTTAGCTGTTCAAAAAGTGGCACTAACATTGACAGCAGTTCATCTTTGGTAACTATTCAGGCTCAAACTTCAGCTAAGTTTAAAAAAAATTCAGTTCTAACACTCTAGCAATTCAAAAGACCAGGAGGTTGTGGAATTCAGTGTAAATCACTGTTTACACTATCAAGTATCAGTAAGTACATTCTTTTCATTGAAAAGACAGTAACAACAACAAAATCCCAATTAAACAAAAAAAAAAAGCACTGTAGAATCAACTGAGCCTTAAGGTAAAAAAAACACAAATTGACATTTTTGTCATACAGAGTAAAAATAGTCACTCAGTATTTATATCATATCCCCTTTTGTTGAAAGGGATTCTTCACTGCAACACCAAGATATTTTTCTAAAGAGAAAAGACACTCTGAACTGCCTACCACCAAGTCTAAATGACTTTTGGTACTGTAGTCAATAAGAAGACAGGCTTCAATGAGTAATTAATAAACAGATACATGCTATAGCCCTTTTTCTCCTGTGGCAAGCACCTGCAAGGGCTCTGATGATAAGCCAGTTATAACATATCCGTTAGACAATATTATTTAAGCATTTTATGAAATTAAGAGGTAGAAATAACAACACTTCTAAGTTCTAATCTACCTAGAACCTCAACAAAATGATCTGGAAAGAGCACTAGAGATTCATCCTGATCTAGAGCTGTCAAGTATATGGCATTGTCAGTCTGGCTTTAAAAACATGCTTCCTGCCAGCATCAAACTATGACTTATTCACTCATTTTACTACCACCTGCTTAGGAGCATTTTCACTCCAATTATTGTTCATACAGAAATTTCCTTTCCTCTTCTGCCGTCTCTAGTTCTTCAGCCTTTTACATCATTTTCACAATCCTTGGAATGATACTGAGAGTGCTCCTGGATGACCAATTCATTTGGTATCAGAAATCAATGCTCCTCAATAATCACAGACATGACAGCACTAAAAGATCAGCCTATGGCACTGAATGGTTAAACTAGAAGTCTTTTATTATGACTCAAATATTAAATTTAAGCCAGTCTAATCCTTAAATATCTATCAGAAGGCTTCATTGTCAAATCAAACATTTGAATAATTCATATGCAGGTAACTGTCTCAGTTACATGTAACTGCTACAGTAAATAATGTTCAAAGTAAATTGTCTTTTGACTCAACAACTATGCCTGGGTTTTATTTCAGTTAAGGTAAGAACAATGACCATCCATCTTAAACTAGAAACAACAAAAGATGTGTTTGCATAGGTCTACAGAATCTTTCTGGTTACTGTATCTACCTTCCTGAGAAAAGGCTGTGCCTACTGAACTTGGTGCAGCAGCACTAGGAAGCAAAGTTTCAGACATTCCAGAGACCCACAAGAAGCTTGCAAAGGAAACAAAAATCAAAGAGTGAAGAAACTTTCATGAAACCTATGAACAAAATTGAGAACTAAAATTGCATCTGGCATTAAATTTGAAAATTAGCATCTAGAAGAATAAGACACGAGGTTCAGGAATAACAGACAGAAAAACGCAGTTGAATGCTATTCCATCATCATGATGTGGATTTAAATCACCACCAATCACAGGGCTCAGGACACTTCAGCAGAGGAGAGCCTCATTTTGTGACTTCCTGGTAAGAACTCAGTTCTATTTCTCCCCATTCTAGTTCTCCCCGAAAATGAAACGTTTCACTTGCAAAACATGACCATGAGGTTTTTAGAAGATGCAGAACTGCACCAGGCAGATGCAGTACTTGTGCATCTTCCAACAACAGCTGGATGGTGCTGCCAGCCTTGCCTACACAGGTTCTTCTCTGATGCAGGTACAAGTGGAATCCTTCTGGCAGTTCCACCTACGCAACTATGAAACAAAGGAACAGCTCCATTTTTCTTGGTTCCCAGTATCACGCCAAGAAGCTACTCAAATTGATATCAGCCAAGTTTACCATTAATGAAAGAAGCAATTGTAGAGAATATGAACATGAGTAAGGTCCCAGACACAACTCAGCTAGGACACTGCAGTACTGACTCACAGTACTCATGAATGCACACTTGGGGAGTATGGACAAAAACCGAACAGAAACCACAACCTCTCATTTAAGACTTGACTCAATTCTGAGCATGCAGATGATGTACATGTTAAAATAAAGATCTATATTGCTTTAAAAATGCTTTATTTGATATCCCAAGCTCTCAGAAAACCTATTATTTAAAATGAAAAAGGATCCATAAGAAACCTTAACAACCCAGTACCCTGAGTAACACCAGCAAGTTAGTTGTTTCATAAAGAAGTGACTTCTTGCTTGAAAGCAAGAGCTATATAATCACATATTGAATGCTTTGCACCATTCCTGACACGATGTGCTTTGACTCAGTAAATACCTGTGGCATTTGCTGTCCGCCCAAAGGAATGGAGCTTGGCGGTGTAGCAGACACAGCGGTGGTAGGCGGGAACCGTGGTCTTATTTGCATCCCACCTCGGGCCATAGGTGCGGTGATCATCTTTGAGGACAGAGGGACAACAGACAAAAGTAATCGCAAAACAAGAAATGCAGTGCACTGGCAGGATGAGAAGCACATGCAACCTCCAGGAATTAGGGGGAGGGAGAGCATGAAGGGAAGGTTAGTGAGCTTTTCTCTAAAGGTTAATCTAACATGCTAGCTTATAAATCAAACTCCTTTTCATCCTTCCTATCCAGTTTCAGGAAGCATCTAATGAATTCTAGGTATCTTGAGAGAACTGATACATAGATTCAGATTCCTGGGTCGAGGGTTCACTATGCTGCCATTTACATGAAGGGCTTTTCCTAAATTTTGTCTGAAATCTTAAATTTCTAGAATTCTTGGAAATAAGTACTCTAAAATTGTTGTCAAGAATGCTCCATGTAAGAAGCTATATAATGCCATAGGTTGCTGATGTGCTTTCATTCCCACAGAGGGCTCAAAGGATTTAACAGTATTTGCATATGCCATCCTTCATTACAGAAGTATTTGGCTGACAGTTCAACAGCAGCTGTGAGTACAAATGCTCCACAGTGAGCAAGATTTCAGACCAACCTATGACACTATAATAATACCAAAGACAACAAAAAGGACTTCTGTGTTTGAAAAAGCTATTTCCTTCCTTTTATAACCCAAAGAATAAGTCAAATATATCCTTGCAATCTCCAATATTCTGAAAAATATCCATTCCTCTATTACTAAGCTATGCAAAAATACTCGTTACGAGTCTTATAATCTGCCTTGATCATGCACTATTTGATTCTCCAGATGTACAGACTGAGCACACCCTGAAATGTCAGCACTTAGGACAAATGCTGAGGTTAGCACTGGAATGGATTTGCATTTTACAACAGTATTAGGACTACACTACTCTGCAGTGTCTAGAAGTACCTTTCAGAACCATTAGCCTGAGTAAGCCACACAGATTTAATAATATATATCTGTATAACCCTCTGTTGCTTAAAGTTTTGATATTATACCACTTATGCCGAGAATTAACAGCAAATACAGCATATTTTTGAAGTAGTGTTCCAGTAACTTTGGCAGATTCAGTCAACAGTAAAAGAGCTTCTGTTTGGTTCTTCAAAGATCTACAGTAAAGTAGTCCTCCAAGCTACTTTTTTTCCTCCAGCATACGTATTACCAAGGAACCTAAACAGGCCCTAACTAACCTACTTGTTAATGAAGTCTCCTTTCAGTAAATGGTTTGGGGCATTCTTGCTTAGTGTTCAATGTAAATGGACTGAAGCAGCCAGCAACATGTCTCTAGAGGATGTCAGAGAATGCATGTGCTTACAACTGTTAAATAAAATTAAATACAACATAGCAAGACTGAAAAAGGAAGCAATAACTGATAAAGAAAACAGTGTCAAATTCAGCACAGCTGTTAGTTCACAACATCAGAGCAATGCAGTCCCCTTCCATCCAAGGCAAAGAGGGATGGTCAGAGACAGGATTTCAAAAGAGAAACAAATGAGAGCACTTCAGACATCACACACACATGCACATGTACACACACAGCATGCAACAGCCACCACAAGCTAACACAACAACCCAGCACTGGCACAAAGCACAGGTGGATGCTACAAAGTGCAGTGAAGAGCTACAGTATCAACATGAGAGCTGGTGAAGCAACACAACCCTAACAAAACAAAAAAAAACAACCAAAACCAAAAAACAAAACAAAACCAAAAACAAAAAACTTGAAAATTGCTGGGAGAGGGACAGGAGGGAAGGGGAATATATCCTTCCAGGCACAATCACCCCATCTTAGACCCTCGTGAATGCACATGGATCTCTGGAGCGTGTGAAATCCCAGGGATGCTATGGTGACCCGCACGTCCCACCTTGGTCCTGTTTCTCATGCCACGCCACCAAAGTGTGAAGATCAGCTTGCTTCCTCCAACGGCAAGGAAATTAGAAGCATATTCACAGTTTAAGTGTCTGGCAAACCACTGAACACCAGTATAATAAATTGCAATTCAAAGGTTTTCAGCTGATTGTGGTTTTGTGGTTGGACAATTTTGTGTTTGATTTTCTTTTATTTTTTCTTTTTTTTTTTTTAAATGTGTGCTTCAGAAAGCAAGTGTATATATAAAATTATACCAATTCCACCACTCTCTTAACAGAAGTGATCTATTTTTTCCCCATTCACCAGCTGATTTACATGTATGAAACCTGTGATCCTTTGACAAAGGAGTTGGGAAAGGGGGTTCCAAAGATTGCATCCGTTTTAGGAAAAGCAATATATCCATGAAGGAGTTGTTCTTGTCAGTCTAAAAACAGAAGACAACTAGAAGTGCTCAAGTACTTTTGAAAAGATTCAAACTGAAGGCAAATCTGATTTATCTCAATTCACAGAACTGAGAATTTTACCCTGTAACAACAGAGAACAAGCTGAGGAAGAGAGTCTCCCTCCCCTGTGAGATACAAACCCCATTATCTGATAAAAATAAAGTGGAATATACAAGTAGAATCCTGTGTCTGTATTTTTCTTTCATCTAAAATCCAAAAATTCAGAATTCTATAAATACGCAGCTTCTGGTGAGCACATGTAAGTACAGTGCCACTGTCGCTCCACTAAAGGTAGCTCTGATTTTCAAAGAGCAAGAGCCAATTTGCATTCTAAGCACCCAAAGGAGTGGCACTAGAACAGTGGTTTCAACTTTATTAATAATTAACTCCACTTGATTACAGCGTTTCTCTTGGTGCTGAAAGCACTCCTGTAGCACGCTGCAGTCACTAGGACACTGCTGTGTTTATTTCTCAGCTTCACCTGTGAGTTACATGCTCTCAAGGACTAGATACCCAAGCAGGGTAACATTGACCTGTGTGGTGTCTTTACGACTTCAGAGAAGAACTTCAAAACTCAGGTGGATCCATGCTTAAACCTGGAAGTGCTTCTACTTTTATGCAGGAAGGATGCACAGGAACTTAACAGAAAAGGAAAAATGCAGCCATATCAACCAAAATCCCCGGTATGAAAGCACCCAGAGATAAATTTTAAAATGTAACAAGCAAAGATTAGGATAGGTTTTTTTTATAACAAAAGCTTCCCTGACCCAAATAAATCCAGGCAGATCCATTAAAAATGCTGGTGCTAGTGAAGAATGTACTAAATACAAAGCAAAATCTACTCTTAGGAGAAATTTCTTACAAATTAAAGAAAATCCAAATGTACTCTCAACACCAAAGCTGCACTGTAATATTGTACACTGCCACAATCTTAAATAGGATACACAGAAAATATTTACACAAGCATGAGAAACCCATTTAATTACTGGACTCCACAGCACTATGTGAATTTTAGTAGACTCGTGAAAATAAATGGAGCAAAGCCTGTATGTGGAATTTTCTAAACTCCACCTGCAATAGATAATGAGCAATCCCTGAGTTTACTACACATGTCTGAGCAAAGCTGCAATAAAAAACCTGCTGTCAACCATCTTATCACCTGAAACTTTTCAAATGCGCCATGCTGTTAAGCCACTGGCATATGATTTCACTAAACGGGAAGAATCAAGTTGACTCGATATAAGCACAATCCATCTGCTCAGGAGTTGAAAAGAGCACCATTAAGTTAGTAAAAAGAAAAAAAGTCAGTCTCCTTCCAGCCAGCCTAAGTCCCTGCAGCTCCCACCTGGAAATTATTTAAGAAATAAACCAGTTTTAATTCATATTTCAACTGTAGAAAGAGAATTCTACATTGCTGACAGTACTGTACCAACTGTACTTACCACTGCTCAGCTTTTATATCCTGTGTTACATCGACACAAGCAAAAGGACCAATACAGAAACAGAATTTAGCCACCAACAAGCATGTGGGCCACATGAGAGCTATGATAGTACAAGATACTATTCCTGTTACATATTTGGGAGATACACGTTAAAGAACCAATTGTTATCACAGTCAACGTAAAAAGCTTCCAAAGGTCTTATTGAATCTATATTATTAGTTGTTTGTTGAAGGGAAAATGGTGCATGCAGACATGGAATGTCTGGGTATACAAAAAGACCTCTACCATTAATCCTAGTCAAACCTCATTTCATCTGTCTGCTCAGTCTCTTCATCTACAAAGTGGTGGTAATTCTACTTACCCGTGTTTGTAAAATGCCTCAACACTACAGAGGTAAGCCATGAAAGACTATTTCATATTCTTGTGGAAAACAGGATGAGAGGTTCAGCTCAAGCTATTCCCAATTTCCCCCCTACCATGTATCCTTCAAATCAGACACACATCAATGAACAATCACTGGGGCTATAAGTGTATTGCAGGATAAGAAAACTGTGTTAGACAATCAGCTTTCACCCAGCACTTCTTTAAAACATAACTCTGCACTTATGACCCATGCCATTTGTTCTTCACAATTCACATTCAGAACAAGAGCAATCTACATCTACTGCCCATTTCACTCAGAAAAAGAATGAAAGATGAAAGGAATGAAAGGGGAGTGCAGAGAGATTTCATTGTCTATACTATTTTTGTAGTTGAAACATAGAGATGGAAGGTAAATCACATGTGAGTAAAGAGAGCAGGCAAAGATTCACAGTACAGAAATAAAGTTTATGCAACAAGGTGGTCACCTAAGAAAGTTTAACAAAAGAAGAGGTGATACACTCCAGGTACCAACAGTCAGACTTGTAGTGTGACCACAGAAGGATGTCTTATTGATGGGCATTCCTGTGTCAGTAAAAGCAACAATCTTACCTACTTGGGACAGAAAACATGCACAGAGAGGTTGTCAATGAAATCCTGCCTCTGACTCCTGGCAAAGGAGAAGCAGCATAAAAGCCCATATCCCCTTTACAAAGGGTATGACCAATGTCAGACCCCTCACGAGAAAGCCACCAGAAACCCATCTCCATGCTTATCTCTACCATGCACTTGCTACAGGCCTATAACTAGCAATACTGGCTTCTGGTCCCTTACCTGCCCTGAAGCTCCCATCTGAGCAGCTTGTGCCTGAGCTGCTTGCACTGCTGCTGCTGCCTGCTGCTGCTGGACCAGCTGAGCTCTTACCTAGAGTGCAAAAAGAAAGAGTAAACATATACATCTGATTAGGGTATGACATTTCTGTTTCAACTACGTTCACTATGCTCATAAAAAAGGGTGTGAAGACAACATCAGCCTCATATACATTATTCCTAGTTTTTGAGCTTTCTTTATGAAAGAAAGTTCCAATGGTTTTAACATTTAAAACAGTCTTCCACAGATTACAGGCTCAAGGATCAATTTCTTCTTGCAACTTCTTACCTGTACTATGAGGTCTTTCTATGAAAATACTAGGTACTTTCTGGCAAACATAGTTAACTGCATACATGTTGATTTCCCTCAAGCACACTGCATTAAGCACCTACCAATAACCAATATTTCCAATGTTTACACATGCATTACGACTGTCAGATGATATATGTGACCTCTAACTACTCCTAGCATAGCTGTTAGGAGCACAACATAGGTATATCGACCTGCCCATCTGAGGTCAGTAATTACTCAACTGTGGCTGGCCCACCACTGCTCCCCAGCAAGGCCCAAAAGAGAAGCAACAGTTCAAAAAGCTGCACCATTAAGAGGATAACCCAGCAAGAAGTTCAACAGAGCAAAACTCTTGTCTTGTCCCCATTCTCTTCAAGGCAGGAACTACCAGTATCTTAAACTCTGACTAGAACTTCTAAGCATGGCAGCAGAAGCAAAGCCAGCATACTAGATAGCCAGCACTGGCTCCAGTCACATGCACTGGGCATTTCAAAGTATTTGCTCATGTTCTACAGCAGGAAACATCACAGAGATCATTTTTCTTTAAGAAGAGTTGTTTGTTTCTTTTTTCTTTTTCTTTTCTTTCCTCTTTTTTTTTTCCTAACTTGTCTATTTAAGAGTGAGAGAAGAAATTATTTCTAAATATGAGCTGTATAAATGGTTTTCAGAGTTCCATAAGTCCTACTCTTGGACACAAAACTGTTCTCTACTGGCAGGCTCAGACATAAACCTCTAAACTCGTAACATTCAAACTACAGATCTCAACCTGTGTTTTCTCCTACTTCATTATTAGTAAAAGTCAAAGACTTTTTATTTCTCTAGAGGATCATAATGAACCAACAATCAGCTGGTGACCAGCCCTTACCTGCATTGCTTTTAATTGCTGTGGCGTTAGAGTAACAGGCATAACCTGACTAGGAATCTGTCCTGAGATTGCCTGTGGCTGAGACACCATGGGCTGGGGTTGAGGCTGGGATTGTGGTGGAAGCTGAGACTGTTGTGCCTGAGCAACCTGTTGTTGCTGCTGCTGCTGTTGTTGTTGCTGTTGTTGCTGCTGCATCTGTTGTATCTGCTGTTGCATTACTTGTTGAGGTGGCTGCTGCTGTATCTGCTGTTGTGGTATTTGTTGCTGCTGTTGCTGCTGCTGCTGTTGCTGCTGCTGTTGTGCCTGCATAGCCTGTGCTGCCTGCAGCTGCTGCATTTGGGCAATTCGCTGTAGTTGCTGTTGCTGCTGTTGCTGCTGTATCTGAAAAGCAGAAAAGGCCAGGATGCTAAAGCTTCCACCGATGCAATAGCAGCTTTATTTTTATAGCATAAACCAAGAGCAAACAGAATCCTAGTAGGTCAGTCTGACATTTTAAGCCCAAAGGGCAAACTCAACCTTTTTAATCCACTCAAGCTTCATATATCCCAACTCTACATAGTGCAAAGCCCATGGTTTCAATATTACAAGCTTGTCTTGCTACTAAAACTGTTTTCAAAAGCAAAGATGAAGTCCACCAGCTTCTCCTGCACAAATGGGCTCAGAATCACTTCCTTCAAATATAACCAGCCTATATCAACACCACTGTTTACCAGAAGCTGCACAAGAGCATGACAGCTGAAGTTTCCTCTTCTGCTTTTCTGCCTGAGGATGATACATGTGTATTGGCACATATGTTATAAAGCAGCAATGTATAATTCACACAATGACAAAACAACCATTTCTAGAGTAGTATCAGTGCTTTTAGTTCTTTCTCATATCTCTGTTCTTGTCAGAATGAAAGACTATCCTGATGTTTACAGAGAGAAAGACACAAGGGCTTTAATTCTCTATTGCTATGACAGAAGACAGCAACCAAACAATGTTAAACCCTTCCTCTGGGATGTAACATTGTCGGCAATTAACTTGTCAGTCTAAACTGAAGTCCTGCACTGAACTGGAAATGTGTTAATAACCGGCAGAGCTGAGATTCAGTACTTCTGTGCAAGCCAAGCCTCACTTGTCAAATAACTGATCACAGATCACCTCAATTGCCATTGTTGTCACCTGCTGTTGGTTTTGCTGCTGCTGCATCTGCAGTTTTAGCATGTGCTGTTGCTGCTGCTGGACGGCTTGCAATTGCTGCTGTTGCTGCTGCTGCTGCTGGACAGCTTGCAACTGCTGCTGTTGCTGCTGCTGGACCTGAAACTGTTGTTGCATGGCTGACTGCTGGGCCTGGAATTGCTGCTGCTGCAAAGCCACCTGCTGCTGCTGGAATTGTTGCTGCTGCTGCTGCTGTTGCTGAGCTATCTGCTGAAGCTGAAGCTGGGCTAAAAAGAAGGTAGACTGGACTTAAAACATGAAACCCAAACAGTGCCAGAGACAGTTACCCAGTATAACTCATAACTGAAAATAATCCCTAAAGTACATTAATGTTCTTCCTTAGCAGCATATACTTTTGCTTCCTCAAATGGATGAGGCACATTAAAGAGGGGGAATTACTACCAACCTCTACTCCTCACTGCCTATATTGAGTCAGGAATGTAGAGAATGTAGAAATAGAATCATAGAATACGGAGGAGGAAACATGCACAGAGGAAGCACCCTACCCATAGCAAAAATAGGTGAGTTCTACAAAAACAAAGTTCTGAAGTAGGATTAAAGAAGCATTTTCTCATATAAACAGCTAAACTACTCTTCACTACACTAAGTAAGACATCCCATTAAGTAGCAGTATCTGAAACCAATTCTTCCTGCAGTTCACTTAGTTAATTTAGCCAGTAGTATGAAACCGTTTCAGCACCCTTTCCTGGTGGAAAAGAGGTATGTACTGAAAAGCTGATCTAACAATTTCAGTGGTTGAAGCAAACTGAACACTTACTCTGCTGAGTAGCTGCAGAGACACCAGCCAGACCATGAGGGGCCATTCCTGAGGTTCCAGGAGGCTGCTGCTGCCCTGGGAGACTCATCTGTTGTCCCATGGGACCAAGGCCACTCATCCCACTCAGCGGTGCTCCTTGGGCTCGGGAAGCCATGCCCATTCCAGGTGTCCCTGCTGGGGGACCCCCAGTTAGGTTCTGCAGGGCATTCATTGGATCTACAAAGAAAATAGTTACCAATAGGCAACCAGCCACGCAACTGCCACCCCAAAAATCCTCTGCTCACCATCATCCACTCTCTGATCTGCTGGCTTCAGACCGTGTCTAGATCCAAAGCCCTGAGAACCTAACATTCAGTGCTCTGCTGTGAGACAAAAGGCTTCTGGCACATCTTTGTCTCTCTGTAACCAGAATTGTGATTATTTAAAATGCTTCAAACCTGCAAAGTTCCAAAAATATTCTAAATACATTAGAGTAAAGGAATTTACTAGTCACCTCTGAATTTATATGCAAGTCAAAACCCATATATCCATGAGGATATATACAGCTAGTAACCTCAAAACCCAAGAAATGACTCCCACTGTGGATCCAATTAGCCTCTTCCTCCTGAAGTCAACACAAAAAAGCAGGGCTCAGACAAGATGATGTACTTTGCTATACTGTTACCTTCATAACATTACGTTTATTATGCAGTGGATAAATTCAGTGCCTTTCAAGACAACTGTCGTAGTCTGAACCTCAGGCACACAGAAGAGTAAAGTCAAAGCAGGAACTGCCATTCAAGAGGGCAAAACACAACATGGGGTGCAGAAGCAGAATTAATCAGGTACAGAATGTAACACCCCCTCTTTTTTAAGAATACTTATAATTTCCAACTGTCTAGACTGAATATTACCCAGTCACAGACACTGCATATTTAGCCTGTGAGAGGATAAAAACAGAGGATCCTACTATGCTCCTAACATAAATTGCTATAAAACCAGCATGGAGGCAGAAGGCATGATCAGATCCAACGTCAGTAAATGGCAGATTGCGTACGCCCCACAAACACAGCACTTCCCTCTGACAACACACTGAGGAACCCAAAGCTGGTAACAGGGAGGAACCTGGACTGCTCAGCAGGAGATTAGTTTCAATCACTCCTGTTCTTTCAAGAATTTTAGTGTAGCAAGCTAACAAAAGTACAAACTGGGATATAAACAAGTCTCCCATGTTACATCCAAAATACTGCCCACCCTTTCACCCTCACCATGGAACAACTCCAAAGCTATCATGATACCTTTCCTTTCCTACAGCAGCATTTTATATTCTAGCTACAAAATCTACCTTCTTAATTCACTACAGCCCTGATTTCTAAGCTGTTCTGTTCAGAAACAGGGGGCAGGAGGAAAATAAAAAAATGAAAGAAGTAAAAAGAAGCTCTTACCACTGACTGAGGCTTGAGATTTCTTATTGTCTGCAAAGGAAGACAGTTAATTGCCTTTGTGAATATCATCACACAAATTTGGCCCCAAAATACATTAACCTAAGCCAATTTGGTAACTAAGATGCTATACAGGTAATGGAAAGCAAGCAAAAGTACAGGAAAAAACTAGGAAAGTGGAAGAAGCAGTAAATTTAAATAATTTCTCAAAGACTCTTCAATTATAGATGGATGTGTAAAAGGAATAATACTTAGAAATTAAGCATGCATATTACATGAAATTTTTAAAGCAACTTGAAGAGTCACAAGCAGAACCACACACAGAAACCCTAAAATTTATTTTTTGGGGGGAGGATGGGATAAACAATCCCATTACTGAGGGGAAATGAAAAACCCACAGCCCCCAACCCGATTACTTACGGATATCTCGGAAATGGATGATAAGTCTGGCCACAAGAGAAAGATATTCCTCCTAAAGGTGAAAAACGAGTATTTTAGAACAGGAAGTAAAAACAGACCAGCCACGACTTTCTGGCTTTCCAGTATTCTTCCTCAACTTAACAGGTTTTACTTGGCAGTCTCTGTGGGCTTCTCAGAGCAGTTAACTTGTGAGGAACAGTCTGTTAATTGACCTCATAGCAGCCTTCAAGTATCTGAAGGGGGCCTATAAGGATGCTGGAGATGGACTCTTCATTAGGGACTGCAGAGATAGGACAAGGGATAACGAGTTCAAACTTAAACAGGGGAAGTTTCGATTGGATATAAGAAAGACGTTCTTTACTGGGTGGTGAGGCACTGGAATGGGTTGCCCAGGGAGGTTGTGAATGCTCCATCCCTGGCAGTGTTCAAGGCCAGGTTGGACAGAGCCTTGGGTGGCATGGCTTAGTGTGAGGTGTCCCTGCCCATGGCAGGGGGGTTGGAACTGGATGATCTTAAGGCCCTTTCCAACCCCAACTATTCTATGATTCTAAGTGATAATATTTTTACTAATAGGTCATTATGGTTCTTGGTGTAAGAAAGCCAAGGAACCACAAAATTCACTGGAAAGAACCTCCATGACAGTCACGCTTCGAGGATCACAATGTGTGAACATAATTATAAACCAATAAATTCATTTTCCACCTCTTACCCACTCCAATTCCTTTTTCTTAAGGGCTGAACCTGCTTATTTGGTAGACAAACTTACTTTAGTCCTTGAACTATGTACCATTCACACTACAAGAACATTTTCTAAGCCAAGATAGTATTACAAATACAAGTTAACAACTTTAAAGACTAACATATGACACAAGTGTCAGAAGCGAAAAGACAAATATTCTTTGCAGAATTTTATTAGTGTGCTTCATAAAGTGTAAGAGAAACTGCACAGGACTGAGGCAGTCCGTGAAACTACTACCTCACAAGTGAGGATGCAGGCATAAATTTGTAACATTAACATTATAAAATATTCACCAAGACAAGTTCTACCCTAAACATGGCTTGTCTGGAGACAGCAACAGTATGCAATTTCTTATAACACAGCTCCAGAAAAAGATGTCGGAATTCTGGTAGTCTAGAAATGTACCTGATAACCAGACTTTCACAGAGACCACAACATTTCCCTTGGTCTTACTCTTGACACAGCCTTTTCATTAATATTCTAGTTTCTCCTCATCAACAAACTGGTCATACGGGGTGGCACTACACAGTAGATGAAGGAAATTCTATGCAACTCACTATACACAAGTCTCTGGATAAAAATTAAGTGAGGTCCCACATACGCATTAAATGCTGCTGCAGCAGCAAACCTGTCTTGGACTGAAGTTCAGTTGGATGCAAAACACATCAGGATAAAAGCAGCACATAAAAATAAAAAATCCTGCATAACTATGTACTCCAAGCAGAGACAGTTAACTAAGTGCACTGGGTTTGGTATTCCTGCAGTTGTTCCAAACTGCTTTTGACCCCCCAGTAACTTCTGGAAACAAATAGAGATGTTTTACCCTTGTTTTGGCCTTCATAAACACATGACTCTCCATGTCTTTGCTGGATTTATTATGGGCAACACCAGCTTTCCTCATAGCATCATCACTGAAAAAAAGAGGAAAAACCAAGATCAAGTATTAATTGAGGACATCAGAAAATGCATTCTGTAGGTAGGAAGATCTATAGACAGGGCAGGGAGAGGACAATCAACATGAAAGCAGCAGGTGAAGCGGGAAGGTGAAAAGAAGGGCCTGGCGATGGAAAGTTGAGGTGAAGAAAAATAACAGGTTTGGTAATAAAAAATTTCAATTCCCTTACTGTTCTTTTCCATCTACCAGCCAGAATCACAGGGACTTACTGTCCTTCCTCCATCACACCTCTAGTAAATTGGATCCAGATCTGCCCTCTGGATGGGACACTAAATATACACAATGAAAAGGCAAAAAAACCCCAACCAGCCCACAACCAAGCCACACAAACACAAAACCACACACAAAAGGAAAAACTAAACCCTACACATTGCTAAGGATGTGGATGGAAAAGAAGGGGCATTCTCAGCACATCAGGAAGCAGCAATCAATTCAACTATGAAACATGCACTGAGATTAACACATCCTAAAACAAGGAGTTCAGTCAGATGAACAGGCCTGAATGCTCTGGGCATTCTCATTTTTGGAAACATGTCACTTCCCTGCAAAACCTGTTCTGCTCCAAAGCAACCTAGCAGCTACGATCAAAATTCCACAAGCAACTTATCAGGAAATACTTTCACCTTGTAATTAACATCTCAGAAACTAATTGCTCAGTAGCTGCTGTTGCATGAGCAGCGTGCATGTAACGGCAGTGATCCCTGAAAGTTTCAGCCAGTCTGAAGGAGGACTCCTATTTTCTTCCCTCTGAATTTCTACCACCTCCCATTCAGCAGGAATGGTGCTTGTAGAAGCAGAAAGCTGGTCCAGCTTCCTGGATTAACTCAGTAACACAGTCACAGAAGTGAGGAGATGCTATAGCCTTAAAATGCAAGACTTTAGGCTGCCACAACTCACACCCTTACTTTGCAAACTAGTAGCATACAGCTAATCTGCTGCAGCCTGTATGCAGAGAACAGAACATAGCCACCAGCTGTAAAGCTCCCTCATAGTAATTTGTTTGTGTTCAGAGACTAAAAAAAAAAACCCTGTTGTTATACATGAAGGTTACCTAAACTGAAGCAGAATCTGAACACAATGCAGAATAACTATTCCTCCATGTGCAAGCAAGCCTTAAAGTGAGTTGCTCATAAAGGAGATTTGTTGCAGAGGAAAAAGCTATATCCAATTAATTATTGACACCTCCCTGCTTTAATGCTTTCCCTTTCAGAAAGGCTGCCACTACTTTCTGAATCCTCCTCAACTTCCCAGTCCAACAGTACAATAACAATGCCCAGTGCCTCTCATTTTGAGAGCACCAAGAACTGAGCAGGCAGGAAGACAAGAAAAAGATTATGCAGAGGCAAGCAGAGGAAGCAACTTGCAGGTAGCGCTAAGTGGCTGTGACATAGACAGTGATTAACATGGTATCAGAGCTTTGAGAAAAAAAAAATCCACAGCAAAGAAGCTGTCTACTTTTATATGTATCCACCTTTTGATGTTATAGAACATGAAAGACATTTTATAATGACTACATCTGCATTACTAAAAATAGCACTCCATAATATAGCTGACATATCTGTCAGCATTCCAATAAAGGTTTAGACTAGGAGGAGGAAAAAATACACAACTCGTTCTTTGTTCATATATTTATCTGCAATCAAGATAAAAAGATTTACGCTAAAAGACTGAAAGTCACTAAAAAAAAAAAGACCATAGCTCTAGATCCTTGCAGAACACCAGTGTCAACAAAATTCTGAAAACTAGATGGTACCAGCTCAACCTTCAAATGCCTCTTAAGCACTTACTAAACCCATCATAAGATGGGCACAAAACCTCTGCCTATTTCATTTCATGCAGAACACTCAAAGTTGCAGTTTCACAAGATGAAGCATTTAAGAGCTACACCAGCTTCAGGAACTCCCCCTCATTCTCAAGAAGCTGCTTCCAGCCCAACAATGTGCAACCTCTCACTCAAGCCAGCTGGCCTAGTTGAAAAATCCTGAAAGACACGTTCTCCTTCAAAACTCTCCCAGCTCCCCTTTCCAGTTCATACCATGAACTAACTGCATAAATCAGTTCTTCCAATGAAACTAAAGGGCAATGAGTTCCATGGCCGACACTACATTAAGTACGTAACATCACCAAATGCTGCTTCATAAAACAGACTATTTGTTCACTATAACAAACCTTTCCTGCTTAAAAAAAAAAAAAAAATGGGGGGGAGGGGAAGGAAGTGTGCTGCTCAGCCATTAGCCACATCTATCCACATTAAAAGTCTTAAAAACCTCCAAGGAAACACCAACAAATGCATTATACTTTAGTCACTTGATCTTGTCCCACACATTTCTGTTAGTTATAGATCAGACATAACAAGTTTCAGCAGGAGCAGCCCTCACTGCAGGAGTACCCACATAACACAGACCAGCAGAAGACCCAAAACACGAATCACCTATGTTACTTCCTTTACACTTGCTTAACAGAACACATAAAAGCCTGAAGGGCCTCAGTCCCCGGAAGACCTCTTTCAGATACAGAGGCGAAAGCAAAGGACCATCCAGTCTCTCTGAGGACTTGTTCTAACACTATCTTTCTTTCCTATTCTGCAGTGATGAAAAAAAAAAAAAAAAACCCTTCCCACAACACAGAATCACCCCTCCATAGCTTCACAAGGATATCCTCCAGCAGAAGTATCCTCCAGTACAGGTGACTAGGTAAGAAGCTGCCCCTTCCAAGCTATGTCAGTACAACTGTGCAACCAGCAGTACTGAAGAACAATCAAAGCTAAAAATAACCACCATTCCCGAGTTATTTATAACTTTGAGAAATTTCCCTATCAGGTTCACTGCATGGCAACCCAAACACTTGGAATGAAGAGGTATTGCAGAGGAGCAGCTTCTTCAGGTCAGTCAAAATAAGCACTTATAAAACTAATTCCTCACTTTCTATGGTCCTGCTTAACTTTTTCTGCCTGAATTCTCATCAGAGAACTCTCATCCAACCAAGGCTGGAATATAAAATGAAGGCTGCTTTATCAGCTGGTTTTGTGAAATGTTTAATAGGAAGATCATTTGTACTGATGCTCTCTTTTTTTTTTCCTCTCCTCACTCAAAAATCTTTAGCTTATCTGCTCGTCTCCTGCCTGCTTGCTCCTCAGGCTCCACCTCTACCTCCTTTCATGTGCTTTCCACATTTTCATCGTTATTTCTGATCACACATTCTTTCTTCTCACCTAGCTGAACCATCAGCCAAATCTTAAGTGAGAATATACACATCAAAACTTCAAGCAAAAAAATGAACACAAAAATAAGGGACTATCATACAAGTTTCATCCTTTTTCTACACACAACATAATTCCCTTCTAACACAGCTTGGGGCAGAACCAAAGTAGCAGATGTAGCTTGGAGCAGGAACTACAGACAGCCACATACTGAGTTTCCCACAACACAACCCAGTTCAGATTTGTCCTTCAGCCATATCAACATCTAAAAACACTAAGGAAAGGCCTTTACAAAGGAGACTCCAAGGCACCGGGACATACCTGCTCCTAGCAAGGGCCAGAATGAAGGGGTGCCCTGTAAGCAGAAGTGTATATTCACACTCTTGCATCATTGCTGTCTCCTGGAACAACCTGAGAGAAGCCAAAGCTGTTCCCTGGCCTCAGTCATCTGAGCTCAGGCTTTCCCAGATCTTATGAAAGTCCTGCTTAGGCCTGCAGTTATGCAAGAACCTAATACTAAAGAGGGCTTCCTAGGTCATCAAACACAGTATTCTTTCAATGATAATAACCAAATCATATGCACTGACCACTGACACATTCATTAGGATGCCTATTTTGCACACCAGCCCTGAAAGGTTCACCCACATAATGTCATTCTTTTAAAAACAAACCAAAAACCAACCATAAAATACAAAAACCCCACCCAAAACTAACCCCAAAACTTAAATTCAGTGTTATAATGAAAACCCAAGCGTGAAATAGCAACAAATTAAGAGTTCTATATCCAGAAGCTATAACAACGCACTTAAAATGAGTTATGAGAATGATCCCACACATTTAAGTTAACTTTTAAGACCAAGTATTAATATGCATTTGACAAATAAATATAACTTGTTATTTGCAGGATGAACTGGAAGATATACATGGAAGACAGTGTATTTTCGTAACTGTTAGGAATAACCTTCCCACAAATAAAGAAAGCTTTCAGATGTTTCACCCGGTATTTATTTTAATTACCTCCCTCTTTTACCTACTACATAACCCTCACTAATGGCAAAACTGACAGGAACTACATGCATACAGAGCTCTTTTTAGCCAATATATTGCTTCTATTTCTCATTCAACAAACTTATCTATTATAAATTCTACTTCTGGCTAGCTTCACTTTATCCTAAGTACCAACATGGAACCAAGGCAAGTTGTTTTCAGATATCTTCCACATACTAATAAAATATTTTAATACTTTAAAAAATCCCCATTTTTTGGTCATTATACACTTCTCCCAGTAACAAGTGTGTTTGCTTTTTAAAACAAGATAGTGAATGCAAACATATGATGTATACTACAAAACTGGATAAAGCACAAGGAAGAAGCATCATTTACAGACACAATCCTAAAAAGAGAGAGACACACACAGATCATATACAGACCCCCTTGAGCATATACAGAAGATAATAAACTGAGGACATTTTATTTCCACTTTTGAAGAACAAGAATTAGAAGTTGAAGTTTACTGTCATCTCTTCATATGGCATTAACCCTAAAGATTAATAGTCAGTGGTAGCCTTTTTTTATCTCTAGCTATATGCTTCCATTGAAATGTTTATCAGCATTTACTGCTCCAAGAAAAAACAGTTCCCATTTGCAGTGCAAATGCAGAACCAAAGATTTATTTCATTAAGGTTTGTGCCTCATTATTCATATTTATTTCCTCAAAGTTACACAGCATTGGAGGGCACTTTTCTTTGCTTATTTTGATGAAGCAGTAGAAGAGGAAGAGAAGCAGCAGCACAGGATTAATCTAAGATTAGTGACTTTGCAGAAAGTTTAAAAAGTAAAACATCAGTTCTGAGAAACAAGAAAGTTTGCATGGCTTTGACAGACACAAATTATCTATTTCTTTAATGAATATCATAACACTTTAATTCTGAAACACCTTAAGTAAAGCCCACAGCCAGACAGTAAAACTACATGCAGCCAAACAGTATACTGCTTGCATGTCAGACAGTCTGGTTTTAAACGTTGATTCTCACAAGCAACAGGGCAAGATCAAGCTTCTCAAGCATTCATATATACATGTTGTGGTTTAAGCTCAGCCAGTAACTCAGAACCACACAACCACTCACTCACTCCCCCAGCTCCTGGAGGGATGGGCAGGGGAATCAAAAGAACGTAACTCCCACAGGTTGAAATAAGAACAGTCCAGTAACTAAGGTATAACACAAATCACTACTGCTGCCTCCAATAATAATAATGATAAGGGAAATAACAAGGGGAGAAAATACAATTGCTTACCACCTACCGACTGATACCCAGCCCAATCAGAGCAGCAATCCTCCAGTTTACATACTGGGCATGATGTGCTGTGGTATGGAATACCCCTTTGACTAATTTGGGTCAGGTGCCCTGTCTCTGCTTCCTCCTGGCTTCCTGTGCCCCTCCTCACTGGCACAGCGTGAGAAAGAAAAAGTCCCTGATCGGGGTAAACATTATTTAGCAAGAACTAAAAACATCAGTGTGTTATCAGCACTGTTCCCAGACTAAAGTCAGAAACACAGCACTGCACCAGCTACTAAGAAGGAGGAAAATGACTGCTACTGCTGAACCCAGAACAATACATAAGGATTTCAACATGACTTTCAGAAGGATGGAACAGTGTTTTCACTCCTGTAAAAACCACCCTTCATACCACAGAAGAACCTTCCATAAAATAGAGAAAGCATGCAGAGCAGCAAAGTAGTTCAGGTAGATATTGTTTCACAAAGGACAAGTGAAAAGGCAACAAACTGAAGTTCACACTAAATCACCCAACATTTTCTATTTATTTTTTGCCCTAAAATGGCAGATGCAAGATAGTAACAGTGGTTTTCATAGGACAGAATATGTCAAACTTGACAGTACTACGGACACTGCCAAAATCAAAGGCCTAAAGCAGATCCTGTCAAGTGGGACAGGAAGCCGCTATTCATGGGCAAGAGGAAAGTGAACGGGAAGGAGAAGCAGAGAAATGAAGTCAAAGAAGGGGCCCGGCTAACCCCTCGCACGGGGTCTGAGTAAATCCTGGTAAGGAGGTCCCCTCCCAGGGGGAGGGTGAAAGGGCCTAGGGAAAAGGAAACACCGGGAACCACGTATGAACCCAGGCAGCAAGGGAAGTGCCCGGAAAGACTCGCAGAGGAGCTCAAACGGGTGGGACACAAACACGGGGCGGGGGGGGAGGGCAGGCAGCCTCGGGAGCAGCGGGAGCCGCTGAAGTCCCTTCGGCAAAGGCCGAGGCCCGCCTGTGGCCTACCCAGCGCTGAGGCCGCAGCCCGCACTCACATCTGGCTGACGAGCTTCTGCCGAAAGGTGCTGCTGCGCCAGTCGGTCTCAGGCCCAGTCACGTCCATCCCTGCCGCTGCCTGCTTCGCCCGCCGCTGCCACCGCACTCCCCTCCGCCGTTCCGCCACCCACCGCCGCGGGAGCGCCGCAGATCCACTACTGTCGCGCTGAAGGCTTGAGGGAAATGGAGCCCCGGCGTGAGCCCCTCCAACTCTCGCGAGAGCTGCCGACGCTCGCAAGGCTCGCTGGGAAATGTAGGCACTCAGCCCTCAGCACCAGCGAGGTCCTGCCGCCGCGGAGGGTGACAGGTCCGGTGCACACTGCACCCAGGAACACGGCAGTTCCGCCGGGTGACCGGGTGGCCCTGGCTACTTTCACCACCACCACCACCCCCCCCCGCCAGCCCCGGTTCCGGCCGCCCCGCCCTCGCGGGGCGGGCGCGTCAAGCACCGTCCCCGTGGGTTCCGGGTCGCACATGAAGGCGGAAGCCGCTGGCGGAGGCCGCCGCCGCCACTCCCGGTAGGTGGCGGGGGCGGCGGAGGAAACAGGGGGATAGGTACCGGTTGGGCCGCCCGGTGCTCCGGGGAGGAGGCAGCCTCCAGCTGGAGCCGGAGTGACCCGTTCCCCCGGGTGCGCTTAGTACAGGAGCCTGCCACGGCTTGGCCCCCCAGGACAGGACCCGGGCAAGTGAGGCGCTGTCCCGCACCTGCCTGCTCGCCGCAGGGATGGCAGCACCGCGAAACCACGGGCGAAGGGCTGCCAGTGGAGACGGGCAGAGTCGATCTGGGGCAGGGCAGGGCAAGGCAGGCACCGGAACGGCGACTGACAGCCGCACGGCCGCCCTCGTCCTGGCAAGGCCGTCCCTTGTCAAGGCCCTGCTGGTCGCATGAAGCCACCGGGGCAGACCCAGCCAGGCCGCGGCTGAAGCCAAGGCCCTGCTGCCTGCATGGAACCCCTGAGGATGCCCTGGCAAGGCCAAAGCCCGTATCCCTGCACAGAGCTTCCCCCGCTGCTTCACTAGGGCTGCCTGAACGGGAGGTGGGGTGAGCAAGTGGAAGGGTAGTGGGTCTCGGGACCTGCAAAGGCATTGTCAACAGGGAAAAACAAAGTAAAACTATAAGCCTGCTTGAACTGTCTTTCACCTCTTAATCACAGGGTTTGCATAGAGTCAGGCAAACTCTTTTAATGATGTGCAACTCCAGGTAGCATTCACCTGCAGAGGAAACTGTTCATTCTGCGTTCCTGATGGGGAAATATATAAGTTATGGGGCAGAGGAGAAACCTCTGTTCCCTGCAGGAGCAAAATTAATGTGATGAATAGTATGGATGAATTCATGCTTGATACACAAATCAGAACTGGAGTATGCTGGAAGAGGCCTTTGCTCTCTTACAAGTCACTTAATTCTTCTATTTGGCACAGAATTAATTACTGCCCATTATTTTTCCTCCTTATATTTTAGACTATTAAAAATCCATTATTTGGTTTCAGCAGTTCAACAATGCAGGTTCAGGTCTTGCAACTAGCTGAGTCTCTCAAGAGAACATACACCACTGGCTAATTTAGAAACTGTCCATTTTAGTATAGTTATTTCTTAGAGAGCTTGATCCTGTAGAAGCTTCATTTTAAAAAGTGTTGTTCTTATTGTGGAAAAGACTTTTTTTAAGGGGCTAAGAGTTTTTAAGATCATTAAAGTAATTCTGTCAAAAGAACGTATTCCTCACAGATTTACCAGATCCACCTGGACATAGAACTGAACACTACATCCTGATTCTGGAAGAAAGATGGAGCCTTAGTGATGGACCACTAGTTTTTAGGGTAAGCAGGTACACCCTGCCTGAATATAGTTGGTTATAACTCTCTTCAAACAAGCAGCTGCTCCATCCAGACCTGAACTTGGCTATTGAAAGACTCAGATGAAAAGCAAATCTTGTTTCAAGATTAGGAATGAGGGGAAAAAAAAAAAAACAATCAGAAAACCAAAAGAGTAGTAAGAGATGATCAGACTCTTAAAAATATGCTGAAGCCATAAAGCATTCTAGCATCTTACTGCATTTTTGGTTTCCTTATTACAATTTCTTGGTAGCATTTGGGCCACCTCCCAAAAATGCACCACAGGAAACTTTTCAGTTCTCTGAATTTGGATAAGTTGTAAATTTCTTATGGATGAGATATTCAAGTTAGAAAATTCATACTCTTTAGGTTATGTTCCTGCTCACAGGGGAGAAATATTTTTAAATATCTGTATTTAGATACATTTCATGGGAGTTTTGCCATATTCTCATATTAAATATGAGGAGTTTTATTCTCAATATGTTCTACAGATAGCTTGTAATAGGCTTGGGGAAAAAAAAACACCCTGAAAGAAATGAATGCCAAAATTTACGAGGCAGCATAGTTTGCAAAAGCTGTTTCCCGAATCACACCTTTTGGTTTCCTCCCACACTTCAAGTGTACTACTAATGCGAGAAACTGAAACTGGCTCAGAAATACAGCACAAGGAGACATGCTTGCATGTTCCCATTAGGGACTTAAAGAAAGATGGCGTGCATAGACCTAGCAAAAGCATCTCATCATCTGATGAGTGTTCAAAACTAACATTGAGATATTATATGGTACCAGATGTCTTCATTCCTTTTTGTGGAAACCTTGGTCAAAAGGAGTGGTTTGGGTCATTTCCTGTATTTGTAGAAGTTCCTAAAATTAAGTGGTATTTCAGGAAGAGAGGGGTTTTCCACACTTGTGAATGCATAGGGATAATTCTGAAAGAAGCACTGCTGAAAAGAGCTTCTGTTTTTATTTCACCCCTCTTCCCTTTTTCTACAAAAGGCATGAAATTGACTTAAGTCACGACTGCACCTAATGCTGTACTCCATTGTCTTACAAGTACCCTTTACAAATTATCATATTGTGATGAATTATTCCAGTATTTGCACTCCAGTTAGAATGAACAATGGTTTTGCTTTTCAGCTTACATTGTTGGTGGCATCACATCTGTTTTCTGAACTATTTTGGCAGGCACCCAGCTGCCTCCCCATTCTGCACGCTCCCTTACTGTTTGACCTGTTTGTTTGTGTGCCCTCTGCCCTGTCAAAATTCTGGTACATAGCCAGGTTCTGCCTATTTGCATCTGCTGAGGGTCAGAAGAAGTAGAGTTTTGCTTTAGTCTTGTATCTTGTCTCCTTGTTAGACCTTCAGCCAAATCCTGGCTTAGATCCTAATTCTCTTTACTCCCTAAGGGAGAGATGAAGGTGTGGGAAGCCTTAGGGCACAGATTTTAAACTTCCTCCAATGCACTAAGACTTTTTAGGGCCTAATCTGTTTGAATCACAGTACAGCACACCCAGAGCACACCATACTGGTTGCTGTGTATTAGAGAAAAAGTGATGAAGATGGCCTTCAAGAAAGAGAACAGACCTGCAACTGAGGGGCACTAGCAGGCTTTAGGAATGGACCAAGAGGAACCATATAGATTTCAATAGCAAAAGTCATGCACCTGAGTCAGAGCAGGCTGGAGACAAACCTGGCTAGAAGTCAGCTTTGCCAAAAGAGAGCCTGGGGGTTCTGATGAGCAGCAAGGTGAATATGGTTCCTCCAACAGGGGCCAGCTTCATGCTGAGCTGTGTTAGCAAGGCAAAGCCAGTAAATTGTGAGAAATTACTATTTTCGCTTTTATTCAGCACTTAAAAGCCCACAAAGCAAGAAGACTGGGTTTGTTAAATACAGAGACAGGAAGAGCCAGCGGCCATTTTTTTAAGTTATCCTATGGGTATAGGAAAATGTAGAGCCAAACTCTTCTTTGTAACACAGAGTGCCAAGGATAAGAGGCAAGTGTTATAAGCTGCAAGAAAAGAAGTTCAGATAGGATAAAGAAAAAAACAAATCTGATGGTTAAGCACTCAGTTTTCCCATTACTGATAATGCTGAAGATTCCACAGTTGACGAGATGAAGCTCTTGGCATCCTGACCTGATTTTGAAGTTTTCCCTGCTTTCAGCAGGAGTTTGGACTAGAAACCTCCCAAGTTTCTTTCCAACCTAAATTATTCTATGATTCTAAGAGCATGGGACCCCCACCAACTGTGAACCACCTGTCCATATGGCAGTAAGCTAAACAGATTTGGATACCCGACACCAGCAAGCTCTAGTTTATTTTGGGCACAGCTGATGCACAAGAAAATATCACTATCTGCGTAAAACACCTCTTGGTAGAGATGTAACTGACAGCCACAAGCTCTTGAATACAAAAATGTCTGAGTTCCCATAGAAACTTAAGTTGGATAATCCTTTCTATATCCAGCCATTTCACTACAGTAGAGGATCAAGGCTGTCAGCACAACTATACAAAGAAAAAAAAACTCCACACCCACTAGTAAGCATCACCCTATGACATGGATGGAGAGCATAAAAGGGGTGAATACTTGTCTATGTATATGTCATACTATGCAATACCAATAACAGACTTCAGTGATGTAAACTCTCTACACTATGTTTAAAGCACAGAATTGGTGCACAGCATCTCTTACCAGAAAATAAAGGCTGAGTGTATTTATGATGGCAGCAGGATGCATCCAGGACATATGTTGACCCAGCTGCTGGGAAATGCTCTGAGGGTTTTGCCATTTATGGGAGATTTTTGTTTAGTTTGTTTTGGGGTTTTTTTTCATTCCTTGAAGTGACCAAATAGCGCATGTCTTCCTATGTTAGGATTGCTTGTAGAAGTGCACATACAGTTACTGACTTCATATGCCTCCTTCCTCTTTATGTACTTGGTACTCAATGGTAATACCTTATCATTAATCACTACACTAACCCACTGTCTCTAAAAGACAAGTCATACAAACATAACTAGTCTCAAATACCTTGTGGAGCCAGCTAAAGACCTCTAGTCTGATTTTCTCTGCAAACTGGTTGGAACAAGGATTTATTTCCCCTTGTTTCTGGATACAGCATCCACAGCACATGAGACAATACTTCTTATCTTTGCTACTGCTAAAAAAGCACAGTGAACAGAAAGTGTTCCTCATCTCTTCCACTTTAGGGTCAATCCTGCAGTACTCAGCCACTGAATCTCACTGTTAACAGATGGACCAGCACTGAGAAACTTTCACAAGAAGAGAGGAAATAAAAAAGGATTACTCGGCTTTTTAGGAACTTGGCTCAGTCACAGAGTTAGTTTTTGAATAACAGAA